GCAAACGTTTCGTTACCCGGCTAGGTAACATCTTCAGTGCTAGAATGGGATGGGGTTTGCTTTCTATTTATACACACACACACACTCCTCGTGTTTGTGTGCAAGTCAGAGTGGAAATGGGGCGGAGCAATTAATGTAATTCATGCCTTTCCATCAAAGCAGCGCCCGAGGCAGCATTGACTAACAATGAGTTGTAGTGGTGCAATCAGGTACCCTGAACTAAGCAGAATCGCATAGGTTGGACGGTTAGTTCAGAATAAGACCAATACCAGCTTTCCAGATGGTGGTGCATTGAATGGTTAGATAATAAGTAGCACCCTTTCAAGGTGTAAAAAAAGATTACCCTTTTTGAGATTATTTAAACCATTTTATTACTCTGGTTGTAGTGCATTTGTATTCTGCTTTCCAAAATACATGGGATCCAAGCATAGACAAAAATATATCCATATTTAGCTTCAGCAAAGTATATGTTCCAGAAAACTGAAAAGACCAAAATCTAGTCATGGTCTGTGTTCACTTAAAAATAAGCTAATGTTTAAGCTATGGTTGTTAAGTAAGGCATAGTAGCAAGGTCCACATATCACACTGTCAAAAGCAAGCAAATCACATGATGAACCAGGAGTTTTTGAGTTATGGGTTATGTTTTATTTTTCCTTTAGTGTAACAACATATACCATAGCAGTGTATGAACTGATTAAGGAGCAGTTCTAGTAAGTTTCTGTGGCTTGCAAGATCTCTCTTACTCAAATCATGGGTCACCATTTGCAGTTGATGTACAAGATGTTCCAAACTCAGAGATTCTGAGTACCAGAAATTCAGTGAGTTTGTAGGTCTCACACACAAATCCATTCCAATTTACTCCATGCTTTCTTCACTTTGGCAGCTTTATTTAAAGAGTTATCCTGTTTTGCTGTATCAATTACAACTGTAATGTTTTTGCTCAAATCATCTAGAAATCTGCAAGTAGGTTCTGAGCTACTCTCTGCCAATTGGTCTGGAGTTGGCTCTTCTCACACGTGGACTTTCTTTTTGCAGAATTTCGGACAGCTTTCCGCACACAAGGGGCACTTGCTATCCTGCAGCATTTTGATACTCTATTCAGTATTCTACAGTGAGTCTGCACAATATTCTCTAGTAACTTTAGAATTTCCTGGATATATGAGAATATACGGGATGCTTTGAAAGAAATGTTTCTGTTTTGACTTAATATTCATGTTTTGCAGCTACTTCAGGAGTGTAGATACTGCTGTTAAGGAAGATGCCCTAGAACTAATGATGAAAGGTGAGTATAGTCTCTTAATACCATAGGAAATACAAGTTCTTGTTACAGCTAAATGATGATAACAAGGCAAATGTGACCTCATTGGCAGGTTGCTCCCTCAGCCTGTTCCTTGTATAATGGTCTGTAATCTTGGTGGTCAGTGCAGAGTAATGCGTGTTCGCTGTAAGGGCAGACCAACAGGATGTCCCATTCCTTCTGTCTGCCATTTGTTTGGAAGAAGAGATCCATCTTTTTGCATAGTGTTGCAAGAGGTGGTCAGGGGATGGATACAGGACAAACATAGTGTGCCTGGGTTATGGGTGCTGGGTGCTCCAGATTTATGCTGATAGGATACCATGAGCACAAGTCTTTGGTAATCTGAAAGCTGACCTGAGTTCACATTTAGAACAAATATCTGTTGAGAGCATGTCTGAAGATGATACCTTCCTACTTCTCCTTTTAGTTGTGACTAATCAATCCAGTGCCCTGACAGCCATCATGAATGATTCGGACCTAGCATCCTCCCTTCGAGTTCTCCATCTTAATGCCCTAAAGATGAATTGTTATATACTAGTACGGCTAGCAGAGGCATTTGAAACAGAATCTGGCAAGATTAATCTAGTGGGATTGGATTCCAAGAGGAAGGTAGGTGGCAGAATCTCTTTGTTTGCTGGGCAGCTTTTTTCCCCTTAAACCTGTTGCCCTGAAGTCTGATTAAGTTCAGTCTTGCAAGTTGTCCTCTTGAGTGGCTCCAGCAATGCCAGTTATAGAATATGCTATGTACCATACCCAAATCTATGATTTTTAAAGAATAGATTGTCTTCTTTTCCTTGAGCCTACACCATTCAGCATTCAAGAGAAAAATAGCTTTAGTTCCAGCTTCCTCCAGTAAGCAGGGCTTTGTAAATTAGTTTTTATATAGTCCTGTCTGTGAACTGAGATTTCTCAGTTCTGTTTTCACAAAATAGATAGGAGCGGTTTTTAATTGGAGACACAATAGTGCTCTTTTACAATGTTAGCTCAACGCAGACCCCTGTAGCTCATTGTTCAGAAATTAGGCTTCATCCATATATTAAATATAGGGAGAGGGATTGAGGCCGTCAAATGTCCCATTCCCATCTTTGCTATCCCAACATATATTCCCAGGTCGACTCCCAGATATTTGTGTAGGCCCTGCCTTGTAGAAGGAATCTACAGGCAGTCAGTTGAGAATATGTAAATATTTAACATAAGCAAATCTGGATACTGTACATCCAGAGCTGAAATCAACAGAGGCAATTAAATGTAATTTCTGAAGATGACTTTCACATACACAGCTTTCGGTGCATATCTTTTCTTGATGTTCTGGATTTGTTTTACAGAGCAAGAAAAGCCAGGCTAAAGGCTTTGTCTGGGAGGAAGAAAGGCAGTCAATTATACAACTGCTCACACAATTACTTCAGTTGGACCTTCATCAGCTGTGGAATGGCTTGGTAGCAGAAGAAGAGTTTGTGAGGTGTGGAAATGGAAAGGGTTAAATGGAAAGCTGTTTTTAGACAAGGCTCCAGGAAGCTTCATTCTGAAGGAATGTGAAGGGTCAGTCACATGGGAAGAGAAGAAAATTATTTAAGTCATGTGAGCCAAGAAGAAACCATTGTTTGTTTGCTTTTTTTAGTGTTAGGTACAACTTGAAAAGATTGTAGTACATGAAATCCTTCTATTGCATTGCGAGATCCACTTGCTCTAACTCCTATTTTGACTCCTTTCAGTTTAGTGACTGGCTGTTGCTACCGTATCCTGGAAAATCCTAGCATTAGCCACCAGAAGCATCGGCCTACGCGAGACGCAGTGATTCATCTACTAGGTGTTGCTCTACTTCGATATGACCATATGCTCAGTAAGTCTATTCCTTTCTCTTAGCCTGGAGCAGGTCAAACACTGAAATATTTCTAATTGCTGTACCATAAATCTGAGCCATCCTACTTTATGCTGTTTTTTAAATTTTTATTTATTTATCAAATTTGTCACAACCCATCTCATGAAATGACTCTGGGCGGTTTACAACAAGATAAAAATTCATTAAAATGCAACATAAAAACAATCCTAAAAATAAATGGGTTCCAAGAATACTGTTACTGAAGTTAATACTGTTACATACTGTTACTGAAGTAGGTCTTCTCTTACCACAGTTCTCTTTGATAGGTGCCACTCTAAAAGTCACACAGATGCTTCAGCACTTTGAACACGTAGCTTCAGTATATGTGGAGGCTGTAACTGTGTGGATCAAGGAATATGGTATGAAGAGTATTGTCGGGGAGATACTAAGGTGAGAGGTTTATTCTGTCCCTCTTTCTTACAGCTCTCAGCAGCATCAATCACTGACTTTTGATTCATTGTTCAGGGAAATTGGACAGAAATGCTCTCAGGAACTGGCTCGAGATGCTTCTGGGATGAAGGGCTATGCTGCCTTCTTGACAGAACTCACTGAACAAACACCAGCTATTGTTCTGGCCAACATGAGTGTCCTGTTGCATCACCTGGATGGAGAGGTACTGTTTTACAGTGGTTCTATGATATATTTTGAGACTATATTTTTCATATGGAAAGTAGAATGAAAATGAAATAAACAGCTTCCTATTTTCATTGGCTGAGATCTTGAAAAAAGCTTAGAGAAATTATGGCTGAACCAGGTGCTTTCCTTTTTAAGAAAACTGACTTTTGACTTTTTTAAGTCAAATGTTTTATATCTAATTTTGTCTCTACTGTGGGCTCTATTGTATCTTAATACGCTCAGAACCATTGCTTTTCCTCTTTCCCAAGTTGAATAAATACCCAGATTTCTGCTTTTCCCCCTCTTGTAATCCTGCTTAGCTTCCTCAGGCTGGTACTTCTGCCTGATATCTTGTAAGAAAAAGCCTGAAAATTTCAGTGAAGTATTTTATTTGATTGCAAGTCTCCTACTTGTGCTTACTTAAAATCAATGGTATTGAACTCTGTAGGACTTTCTTTTGAGTAAACATGACTTAAATCAGGATACAAGTCTATTGAGCTGATGTTGCATGTGGACTACCAGTGGCACAGAAGTGTGCCAGGCCGGAAAGGCTTTTTCTCAGCAATTATTCTGAGTGTACATTTGGCTCACCAAAGACTCCATATCAGCAAATTTTGATTTTTCGTTGCCTTTTCTCTCTAGCATTTGGCAATTATCAGTAAGTCTAGCCTAGCACAGAGCTACTGCTGTACAGAGCTTTTGGCCTGAGATTCTTGCATAGATGAATCAACTAAGTCTGTTCCAAATCTGAAGCTGCTTTGGGATATTTGCTTTCTGGGCGTGTCATCTTCTGGTTTGCTAGTTTTGGAAATGGCCAGCCCAGATGCTCTTCTAAACCATGTTCTAATTCTGCAGAGTTATGGAATGCGTAATGCCATTTTGGCTGCTATGGCAGAGATACTGTTGCAAGTGCTGAATGGAGAGCAATTGGAGGAAGCTGCCAGAAGTACAAGGGATCAGTTCTTGGATACTCTGCAGGCACACACGTGCGATGTCAATAGCTTTGTGCGCAGTCGTGTGCTTCAACTCTTTACCCGAATTGTGCAACAGAAAGTGAGTTTCAAAGAAAGTACTTTTTCAACTTAATTAGGGCAATTAGGTTGCTACTGATGTCTTCTATTATTTTGAGTTAGGCTGTAATTATTTAGAGGAACTTCTACACTAGATCATTTGAGTAAACACCATTGTCTTGTCATGGAGCCAGACAGAAACAAATCTGGAAGCAGATGGCTACCTGCCTATGGAGGGAATTTTAAGCTTTATTTGCTATCAGATATTCCTGTCAAAGCAAGTGGGAGGAGCCACCCATCCTGGGATATCCTCTATAGAAAAATTGTAATGCCCCTGTTCCAACCCCCAATAGGAGTTCAACTGGTTAAAAACAAATACAGAGAGCATTTGACTATATAAACATTCTGGTAGGGATTCACAAAATGCAAAGTAGTTTACCACAAATAACACATCGTTAGCCTAAAGCACAAATAGAGACAAATAAACCAGTGCAGTAGCTAAAGAACAATAGTAGCATTTAAGAAATAGTTAAAATACTGAAAGGGGTAGTTGTGAAAAAAAGGACTACATATGGCAGATAATTTCCTTAAAAAAATTGGAAGCCAGTACAGCTTTTTCAGCTAAGAAGATGCGCGCTTGCTAGGTTCTGTCTCTGTTAATAACTAGATTGTTGCATTCTGGGCCAGCTCTGTCTTCCATTTTTGCGAAATAGTCGCAAGGCAGTGTTGTCCAAACTTGGCCACTTTAAGATGAGTGGACTTCAACTCCCAGAATTCCCAATTCCCAAGTCCACTCATCTTAAAGTGGCCAAGTTTGGACAACACTGTCGTAAGGTGTGCTTTGCAGCCTTCAAGGAGAGCACTTGGACCTGGGATGGAGGCCTCTTCGTATTTAGGGTCAAGCCCCAGTGAAACAGTTGCGGCTTCCTTCTGAGGAAACACACCCATGTTCTGGCAGCAAGTGGCCTGTTGCAGAATTATGTTTGAAAGTTCCAGCACTGAAGCTCCCAGGGAGGGCAACACTGGTTTTGCTTCTCTTATCTGATGTCAGGAAATCTCCAAAATACAGTGGTACCTCAGGATACGAACTTAATCCATTCCGTGACTCTAGGCGTATCCCGAGTTGGTCGTAACCTGAAGGAAATTTCCCCATAGGGTTCAACGTAATTACCGTTAATCTGTTCTGGCGTCCGCGGACCACGTGTCAGGGGCGGGAAAACAGGCGCGGCATGAAAACGGCCGGGCGCGGCGCGCAGCAGAAAAATGGCCACGGACCACGTGTCGGGCAGAAAAATGG